ATATTTTCATATGATTTTCAATTTCTCATTTTCTCTTAGGCCAGAGAGTAACAGCAGGAGAATTTAATTGGGAAGGTGAAATAGTTATTTATTTGTACCTTAGCAAGTCTTCCCACACATAACTCTTCGTCTTATCAAAGGCCCATGAAGGCCAAAACATCAAAAAACAAAACAAAACCTAACCCTAAATATCCTAGGAATAAATAAATAAATACATTAATGGGAAGGCTATACATTATTCAACTAATAAATTAACAAAGACACCAGCATGATGCTGAGGTACAAAGTAGTAGCTTGTGGTCACTGTCCCTGGATTATCTAAGCAGCCAATCTGGATAATGGAAGTATAAAGTCCAATGATCAATCAAATAGACTAGGGTTTTGACAGGGAATGCTGACGGCTATCTTGGCCTTGCCCAACTGAAAAGAACTCATTTATTCACTGCCACAAGTGATCCCACCTCAGCAGCAGCAGGGCACTTAACATTGGTCACCAACATTTGTACCCATTCCTATTTGACTCCCTGTCACATTTATCATAACAGCCTCTTTGAATCTCTTCCCTTTCTTTCAACTTCCCAAGCCCCATCTTCAAAGTCCTCACTTTCCATTTGAGCTCATGTTTGATTATGATCATCCACGAATTTTCTTTCTTTACACACTTAATCAAGAGATCAAAAGATACAATGCCTTGGGTAAACCTGCTGCACACAGCTTCTATAGAGTATGGAAAAGCAAAGATGGTACTTTGAGGACTAAGGTGCACCTGACCCAGGCCACGGTGTTTTCCCTCGCCTCATAAGAATGTGAAAGTTGGACATTGAACAAGACTGAAGAAGAATCGATGCCTTTGAACTGTGGTGCTGGAGAAGAATATTGAAAGTTTCATGGACTGCCAAAAGGACAAACGGCTCTGTCTTAGAAGACTGATCTGTCCGGTACAGCCCAAATGCTACTTTGAAACAAGAATGGCGAGACTTTGTCTTACATACTTTGGACAAGTTGTCAGTAGAGACCAGTCACTATAGAAGGACATCACATTGATAACACGGAGGGGCAGGGAGGAAGATCCTCAATGAGAGGCCCTCATGGATTCACGCAGTGGCTTCGACAACAGGCTCGGGCATAGGAACAATTGTGAGAATGGCTCAGGACTGCGCACTGTTCCATTGTGTTGTGCATAGGGCTGTTACCGGACAGTACTGATGCCCCATGGCACCTCAAAAGCAATAGGAACATTTGTTTTCATAAGACCCAGCATATTGCTTACTTCTCATATCAAAACCAAAGAGCTACCGAAGAACTCACTTCTATAGAGTTGATTTTGACTCACAACTATATAGGGCAAGGTAGAACTGAGGAATGGCTCTTGGCTTCAAACTGCTGACTGTGTGGTTAGCATCTCAATGTGTAACCATTACATCACCAAGGATCCTCTTCTCATCTCAAGATAAACCAAATCCAACCAACCAACCAAAGCAATTGCTGTCATGTTTATTCGAACTCAGGAGGCTCTCAAGGGCTTTAGCATAGAATGATGTTTCCCTGGGTTTTCAATGACTGCTGTTTTCGTAGTAGATTACCAGCCCTTTCTGAATCAGTCAAGTGCTTAAGCATTTACTCCATCCAGGAACTATCCCAAGATAACGACCTAACTTCTTTGCAAAACTAGTTACTCCACCAGTAAGTCTGACTCCTCACATGCCCTCTCCCTTATGATCACATTCCATTCTCCACAGATGTCTCTTCATCACTCACTGCTTCCATACACAGTTTTGCTATGGGAATACAAGGATGAAAAAGACAGGAACCTGGCTTGGAGCAAGATATTATGGAGACAGACACTCAGTAATTGTGGATCTCCCAAGTGCAAGAGACTATGGATCATAGGTGTTTATATAATTAGTGATAAGGCAGCTTTATCTTGGAGGAAGTGCAGATCTAAAGGAAGACTAAAACTGTTATGTGGATACGTGAGAGATTCAAAAAAGCACAATACCAAGTCTTCGGCCATCAATGGATGACAACAACAACAACAACAACAAGCCAACACCCATTGCTTTTGAGCAGATTCTGATTCATCGTGATCCCATATGAGTTGGATTAGAATTGGGATTCACTTCTAATTGGCATATCCTTCTGATTGGTTGGCCTTTTTTGCTGAGGCACCTGTGGACAGATTTGAACTGCCAACCTTCTGTTTGGTAGCTGAGTGCTTCACTGCTTGGGCCACAGTCTTGAGGAATTTGGTGAGAAACACCTATGAGCAGTTTCAGTTTTAAGGACATAAGAAATCATGGACACAACAATGTGGTAAGCGGACAGAATAATGCAAATGGTCAAGGACAGTGGCACAGATCCAGGTAGGATACCGAGTGTCTAATTTAGGGCAACAGTGGTGTGGACTAAGAAGTATGATGGATAAAAATCTATTTAGGTGGCACGTTTTAGGACTTAGAAATTATTGGAAGAAAGCAATCAGAAAGAGTTGAATTTAGGTTTCTGGTTCTGGTAACAAAACACTGGTATGCCATTTGTGGAGAGCAATTAGGCAAGTTGAATCTGCAGGGTTCTCACAAAGAGACAGCAATTGGATATGTTGATGTGGACCCCAGAGATACTGATTGGGGCCTCAGTAGAGACTAGTCTTTCTTTCCAGGGACATGCCCAAAGCACATGGCTCACCAGCCACACTTCTGGGAGCACTCCAGCTGTCCTTCTTTCAAGACATATTTGTTTCTTCTTTAGGCAGTCCACGGTACTTTCGATGTTCTTTGCCAACACCACAGTCCAAATGCATCTATTCTTTGCCGGTCTTCCTTATTCCATGTCCAACTTTCACTTCCATATGAGGAAATTCAAAACACAATGGCTTCAGTCAGGCACACCTTGCTTTTCAACCTTTGCAACCTCCTTGCTTTTCAACATTTGAAAGAGGTCTTGTCCAGTGGATTTACCCAATGCAATGTGTGGTTTGCTCTCTTGCCTGCTGCTTCCATGAACATTAATTTTGGATCCAAGCACAGTGAAATCTTTGACAATACCTACCTTTTCTGCACTTATCATGATGATACCTATTGGTCTAGTGGTGAGAATTTGGGATTTCTTTAGAGTAAGTTGTAATCCACATTGAAGGATGAAATCCTTGATCTTCATCAGCATGTGCTTCATGTCCTCCTCACTGCTAGCAAGCACCGTTGTGTCTTCCTACTCCCGAGAAGAGTTACATGCTTGGGCACCCACAGGGGCAGTTCTACACTGTCCCATAGGGCTGCTGACAGCTTCCACTTGGGTTTTGAGCCTTAGCAACACTAACGGAGCTCTGTGATATTTGCAGGGCAGAGGCCAGTAACCAAAGAGAGACATGGCTGTTGACATGATTGGTAAGAGGTACTGCTGTAGACCAAAGGACTGTATTTTTAATGTCTACTGCCCTGATTTGTAGTAACCTGGTAATATCCTTAATAAACCCACATAATTGTGAGTAGTTTCTATTCTTTCTGTGTGGCCAATGCAAGGAATTCTTCAGCCCAGCAGAGTGGGTGTCAAAAGCGTGTAGAGAAGAATGGAAGTTGGAAGGAGGCAATGCCTGACTTTCTTTGGGGAATCAGTCTTGGACTGATGTAGATTTGCAATTTCCTTCTTGCTGCTGAAGCTGGGAGGAGGTCAGGTGTGGACCCCACATCATTTCCTTGTCATCTGGCTACTATTGCGCTAACAGTTCTATATGTACATTTGCCACTGGGATCCTTCCCCCCCAGTCACATTTTCATTAACAATTCTCATGACCTATCTTCCATCGTTATGCTATTTGATCTCTATGCAAAGTTTAGCACCTACTAAGTCTCTCTTTTTATGTTCTCCACTGTAGGCTAAATTCTTATCTTAGTTTTCCAGTCTCCCACAGTGACTTATTTTTTGAAAGCATTAAATCCATTTGTCCCCACAAGATTTTATCCTTAGTTGATTTTGTCTGAAACTCACATTTCCAATACCCCTCCCTCTACAGGTATTGTCTCAAATTATTAATATGTGGAGACCAGTTCAAACTGCCTTTACCTCAGTTACTCATTGAGCTCTGAACTGTTTGTGGTACCTAGACATGACTTCTAATGTGTAGAGGACATCCAAATTTAATTGGGAACTAGATTTTCAAGCAAATAGCTATCTTCAAAAGTCCTACCAAATTCAACATTCTCCTAATTTAGCATACAAAATCTATTGATTAGTCTCTTAAATCCATTTTTCTATGAACATTTTGAGATCCCCCATGTTTTCTTTAGAGTCCTCATCCCCAAAGTGATTGTTCTGCCCTGTGATCGACAACTCCTTCCCCATGTTCACTTTGCATTTTCAATCAGCCTTCAACCTTCATTTTCATTCATCTGGCCTCTGATTATGCACAACAGTTTGATTACAGTGCATCTACACATAATACAAGAGTTACAATGGTTCATTTCTCAACATATAATAATAATAGCAACCAACACTTATCAAGAAGTTGGGCATTATTGTAAGCACATTGCATTTAATGTTTCCCTGTTTTCCTTCCTTATGAATTTCAAAGACAAAATTTTTTAGGGAGTTTGTTTTGTCAACCAGTCTGAATTATATAACCGTCTTTTTCTGGGTGATAAAATAATTAAGAATTGTGTAGTGAAAATTAGCTCATCTTACCACCAAAGCTCTATTAATAGACACATACACAATTAAACCCTGAAATATCTCCTGTGCTACTAATGAAAGATTAAAACACACGCCACATTGCCTTATGTTACCATATTTCCATTCGTTGGAAAAAGTACTAATTCTTTAATATGCATTATGAATGACGTGTAGATGATTTGTGCGCTTTCATTAGCACACACTTCCTTTCCAGATCTTTAAATGCTGTTAACCCTTATGGTGTTGTCCTTAGTCCTCCCCCATTAGAACACTGCCCCCATCTGCAAACACCCATCTGCCCCTGACCTTAAGGAGTAATAGAGATGTACACTTACTTTGAAAATCCAATCTTTGCAGACACTTGTAAATCAGCAGAACAATTTTCATGGGCACAAAACCTTGCAAAGTTGATCTGGAAAATAAAAGACAGCATTTTAAAAGTTTAGCTCACTGAGTATATGGTCTGTTTTTTAAAAATAAGTAATGCGTGAGGAAATGAGATGAATGTGTCACATCAATAACCTCCTTTTAAGGAGGTACAATTAAAAATTATTCAGTAAGTTCAAATAAAAAACGATCTCAAGACTCAAAGAACTATTTTCCTCCAATATAGACATTTTTAGAGACTAAATTTGTTAAATAAAATAAGAGAAATAAGGTTAAACGAAAGGCACTATAATTGGAGAATACCAGTTATCAGTCATTCCAGGAAAATGATTTTTTTCCTTTACAATAGTTGTGAGAAAAAAAAAATAAGCTTGGTCACACAAAGGTAAGTAGCCTGTGTAAATGTTTAAAATGAGTGCTGACAAGGTCACCTTTGTCTCCTCCCCTTTCTGTTGCTGCAGGTGGCTCTCACTTATCACACACAAGCATAACACTTAATTTTGGCAAGTGGCAAGACAGTGACTTTTACAGTCTTTGAACATAGAAATATAAAAATTTAATTTTAAGAAAATACTGAGCAAAATTAAATCCACTCTAAGGGTTCTAGAATTGATTAGCTCTAAGCATTTCAATAGAATCCAGTAATACCACGAAGTGTGTTGAAAAGGTTTAAGCTATAAGTCTGACAAGAGAAAAAGGGGAGAGACAAAGGTAAGGGAGACGACTGGAACAGGTGAATAAGGGAGAAAAACAGAACCCAGAGAAAGATCTAGAAAATCAAGGAAGGACAGTGAAAATTGGCTCCTGTATTGCCAACTGCACGTCAGACCTGGGATTGCAGAAGAAAAGCATATCTTTCTTTAAATGACGCGTTTTCATGGCCCTCCTGTCTGTAAAGCCAGTTATTCTAGGGCTCAAACTGTAGGCCACAGTGCTGTAACTACAAATGACTACGGTGTTCAGACTTGGGATGTTGAGATGTGCATGACGAGAGACATTTAAAAATGGTGGACATTGAAAATTAAAACTCAATAGAAAAGCCAAAAAATTCACCTAAAAACACTTTTTATAAGGACATAGGAAAAATTGCTCTTAAATTCCTACCTTCCTTTGGTCAAGTATTCTAAATGAGATAGGGGGGACTATAGGCTCAAAGTTCTTAAAGTGAGCTAGGTGCAATTTTGTCTGGACAGGATATGAACTAGACCCGCAAATGTCCCTTTCTTCTTTTACAGTATGCCATTAGCAAGCGTTTTCATGACTGCTCTTGACCATGGCCAAGCACATGCTGCTGCCTCTCTTTGTGTTGTTGCTGCGAATAAATATAACTGTCGGTGAGAGAAATATTTTGGAATAATTGAGAAAAAAGCAGTTCACCATTTTAGCAAACAGCACCAATTTAAAAATGCAGATGATGCTGAAAATCACATAATGAAATAATAAGAAAACAAAACCCAAACAAGTGAAACCCAACAAGAGAATATGACTAACAAAACGAGTGAACCTTGAGTGCTGTGAGAGAGAACGAGAGGAGACAGTCACGAGCAAGAGAAACAGTCTGCATTGGATGATACTGAACAACTAACTCCTCAGGGCAACCTACTTTCATTGTGAATTTCCCTAGTTATACATTTTCTTCACAGGCAAGGGATTGAAGAAGTAAAATGAACTGGGTATATGCATATATGTATGTATGTATGTATGTATATACATATGTGAAACTCCTATTATTAAATCCATATTTAAACACATTCACCGCACTATCCTAAAGGAAAAGCAAAAGGTAAAGAACAATTGACAAGACATATCAAAACTCTAGTTTTACAAGAAAATTATTAAACACTTAAAAGAATTCAGAGAAATTATTTGTTTCTCAGATGTATCCACTATTTCAAACAAAGCAGTCTTTAGTTACATGTAAAATAATGTTTGCATAAAAGAGGATCTCCCAACCGTTTTTGTAATAGTGTCTTTTTCTTTTTTCTGCTGAAGAATCGGCTGCAGGGGTGGGAACTCCTCCGTACTGCGCTTACTGATGACGTGGTGCCCAAGGTGGAAAGCCGCTTCTATTTGAATGGGAGTGATAATGTCCCGCACATCTTTCTAAGGAAATCAGAAAGCATATGAACGAAGATGAAAAACAAGCATGTGCACAGAAACATAAATATAAAACATATGTATAAGACAAATTAAATACAACACACAGGAGCCAAAGCAGACTCTTAAGTTTTTCATCTAAATTGTTACAACCTTGAATTTTTACATTTCCCCCATTACAAATGTATTCCTGTTTCTTTGGAAAGACATGCACACACAGAAGTATAAGAAATGAAAAATCAAAGCCATCCAAAAATAGTGAAAATAGTCTCCCCTCGGGCATAGCTCCTGCAATGATACTTTCTATACTTATGCTTTATCACCTGACCCCATAACTTAAGAATTTTCCAATAAACTCTCCGTAAATTATTTCAGAGTTAATCACCAACGAATTCTATTTAATGAAATAAAGGAAAACTTGCTGATGTCGCTGAGTGCCACTGAGTCAGTTTCAAGTCAAAGGGTCCCTCTGGGTCCTAGAAGGAAACACTACGCAGCCCCACAGCTTCTGCACTGTTGTTACGTTGAGCCCATCGCGGCAGGCAGGCAGGCGTCACTGTATCAATCCCTCAGTGGAGACTGTGGTTTTCTGCGGACCCTCCACTAGATCACGCCTGATATCTTGCTCCAAGGACGGACTCTCCTAATCACATGCCTAAAGCATGTGAGCCACGTCCAACTATGCTTGCCTCTAAGGCGCATTCGACCTGTATTCTTCCAAAGTAGATCTGTTTGCTCCTCTGAATGTCTGCCATACTTTCAATATTCTTCCCCAATACAGTACCGCGATTCAACTCTGTCGGCTTTTCTTCAGTTTTACTTATTCAGTGTCTAGGTCTCACAAGCACCTGAGGCGAATGAAAATGTGATGGGTTGGGTCAGGCACACCCGAGTCCTCCATGTGGCATCACGTTAGAAAAGTCTTTTGCAGCAGTTTGCCCAAATCAATAAGATATCTAATTTCTTGATTGCTACTTCCATGAGTATTGATTGTGGGGCCACGTAAAATGAGATCCTTGACAATGTCAATCTCCTCTCAATTTATCATTATGTTGTCCACTGGTCCAGGTGGGGGGATTTTTGTTTCTTGACAATGAGTTGCAATCCATCCTGAAGCTGCAGCTGTTAGTTTTCATGAGCAAGGGCTTCGAGTCCTCCTCTCTGTAAGTAAGCAAGGCGTCATCCGCACTTTGCAGGTTGTTCAGGAGGCTTTCTCTAGCCCTGATGCCTTGCTCTCATCCATACAGGCCGGCTTTTCAGACCATTCACTCAACACCTAGATGAAGTATTACGAAAGGATACAAACCTGACATAAGCCTTTTGGGGGCTATTTTTAATAAACCCCTTTCCATTATATTTTCTATCAAGTTAAGAATGTTATAAGGAAAGTTGTTTTGTTTATTTAATCTAACATCTTTGTTGCTTTGCTAAATTATTTTATTGTTTTAGTTTTCTAGTGTTATCTTGCTTTACATTTGACACAAAAAAGAGTTCTTGCATTTATTTATCAATTACACAGGAATTCTAATTCATTAGGAATTCATTCTATTCCGTATTCTTTTAAATTTAATTTATTACTGATTTCTGCAGAGCAATTCTCATTCCTAATTTATTTATAGGTGGTTCAGAAAGTTTTTTAAAAATCAGTTATTTTAGTGTATCCACATATTCTATTTTATTTATTTATTATCATTCTTTTTAATCATTTTATTGGGGCTCATACAATTCATCACAATACATAGATCAATTGTGTAAAGCACACTTATACATTTGTTGCCCTCATCATTCTCAAAATTCGCTTTCCTCTTGGGTTCCTGGAATTAGTTCATTTTCCTTTCTTCCCCTCCTCCTCCCTCCCCATTTCCTCACCCCTACTGAACATTAACTCATACATTTTAATCTTTATTTCTACAGGCAGGCATTATTACTTTTTTCTTGTCCATTTAAAAAATATTTTTCCATGGATTGAAAAAGATTTGTTTTATCTTTTTTTAATTATTCCCTAACAACTTCATTAAAAGACAACCTACCACATTTCTATTTATATTATTGTCATTAAACAATGACACGATGAAAAAAGGAAAGAATTTCAAAAGTATTTGGCACTCAATTAAGAACTAATTACTGGATAGTAAAGGTGTTTTAGAATCCCAAGTTTGTAGCAGAAATATAGAGGAGATAGGAAAGATATAATAACTCTTTAAAAAGTAATGTCAAAGCCTTCCCTAAGGTGGTCCAATGATATTTTACTAATAATGATATATTAACAAAAGTCACTGATTAATATAATGATATTTCATGAAGACATGTTGATAGCAAGTCTATAAACGGTTGTTGTTGTTGTTAGGTGGTATAGACGCCATTACGACCGATCTCCACCCTGTGCACAGCAGATGGTACCACTGCCTGGTCCGGCGCCAGCCTCACAGCTATTCCAATGCCCAAGTCCGCTGTCGCAGCCACCATGTCAATCCATCTCATTGAGGGACTTCTTATATTGAAACTAGCTTAGAAATGTATGACATTTTTATTTTTCACCTCAATGCAAACTAAATCATCACAGACTGTTCAGTTTGACTCCATTTTTCAAATGGTTATCTGACTTCACAGGTTATCTTAATTTTAAAAAAGAGATGCTTTCACCTACACTAGTTATGTTACCTTAAACCATGGGTGAGTGTTCAGGGTGGATCCAAGATAATGGAACCAACAGACTTTCCAGTTAATCTGCTAGTGGACCAAGTCTCTATGTATCTATACCCAGATCAAGACTGGGAAATGGCTTAACCATTACTGCCTAAAAGCAATAAGGAACAGATTACTTTCAAAACTCATCCATTAACAATTCCTATCCCTAGGTATTATCAAGCAGCTAACAATACCTTGATATAATAATGATATAAATCAATGCAGCAAATTAATAAAGAAGCCACCCCACATAAAAGACTACAACGATTCCCAAGATTTTTATGCGTGAGCAAAAGGATGTCGTTTTTCTCTTCTCTTCATTTACATTATCAGCAGATGTGTCCAGTGGTTAACAGCACGTGGTGTGGAGGTGGAATACTTGGATTCGATTCAGCTCTCAGGTTATTGCCTATGTAACCGGGAAATTTACTTGATCTGGCTATGCTCAGAGTTATCGCATTTGAAAATAGGAATAATGATTATGAGACTGATGACAACTTCACCTCATTGCTATGAGGTTTAAATGACATCATGTAGGGAAAAGACTTAGCATAACACCTGGGACATATGAAGGTCTCAATCGGCATTAAACAGAATTAATATATGCATGTTGGTTTTGAATATAGCGATATAACCAATAAAATGATTATTAAATGTTGGGTTCTCAACATCTAAAATTCCAGTGATAGAATATGCCTTAGATTATTGCTAACCAATGAGCTAACATAGAAAATGATTTATGTAACAAATATTAAACACCTTTTAAGTAAGCGAGCTCTGGAAGATTTAGAGCATGAATCAGAGTACTCAGGATCTTATAACTTTTCCATTCTTACTCATATACATTAAAATTTCTTAATAAATGATCACCTCCATATGAAACCTTGACCATATAGGAATGCTGAAATCAAGACCCAATTCCCAAGTTAGCAACTTGTGAAAGTGGAACAGCTTGAAGCGCTGCGTATTACACTAGCAAACTTGATCCAATCATTCCCCAGACGTAGAAGCTAGACAGCCCGAGTGTCCCTCCACATGTCCACTGGTTTACTGCTTCTCAACACGCATGCTTTCACCAAATCACATACTACCTAATTCATTCTAATTTTCCACAAGGTCTTCTCTACATCTGGTGTATATTACTTTCATTATCCTAATTAGCTATTAATTATGCTTTTCTTGCAATATATAAAATGTACATGCACTCGAACAAAAACTGCAAGTGACAGATATTCACACTTACTTAACTTTAACAGCTTCACCTAAGGACAAAAGCTATAATATTAAAAAAAAAAAGTCCTAAAGTGACTAATTAAATATTTGTCGTTTTGCTTAAAATTTAATTTGACTAGGCATGTGCTATTTACATTAAAATAATGAAGATTCTATGCCACATTTCTATGGACAATTATATAAAATATGACAGCCACAGCCCGTAAACTAGAAAATGCCTGGAATTGCTCAAAGTATGTCTTCTTGCTTGACTTTCAGGGAATTTTGTATTTATGGCTAGCTATTTATAACCAAGGGAGAAAGACAGGACTTTTTACTCCTGTAAACAGCTGCAGTCTCAGAAACTCAAAGGGGCAGTTCTACCCTGCTCTATAGGGTCGCTACGTATTGGGATTGGCCACATAGCAGTGAATTTGGTTTTGTTGGCTTGGACTTATAACCAAAGAAATTCTAGCAGCCCAATAGTTAAGTGCTCAGAGATTCTAACCAAAAGTCAGTGGTTTGCACCCACCAACTACTCCATGGTAGAAATATGTGCCAGTCTGTTTTTGTAAAGATCACAGCCCTGGAAACCTTATGGCATAGTTCTACTATGTTCTATAGGGTTGCTATGAATTACAATTAACTGCAAGGAGTTTTGGTTTTATTTTTAACATATTTTAGAGCTTAGTTATGGGCTATGGGCTTCCTATTTATTTGTATATAGTTGAAGTATTTATGAATGGGCCCAAAGAATATTTATTAAAAATGAGTTTGAAGTTAAGCATGTTAAAGATATCTACACATGGACTTACTGTGTACAAGTCAGACTCTGGGGATTCAAAATCGATAAATAGCACCTTTGTCTCTGTCTACCACTCGTAAATCCACACACAGAGACAAATGTTCTCATATATATATCCTAGTACAGAGAAAGAGGGATCACCTAATTTAGGATCAGAGAGATTCTTACATAAAAAACTTTTAAAAAGGAAATGACATGATCAGAATTTTTAAAAAACCTCAGGGCCATCAAGTAAATTCGGACCCATAGAGACCCTACAGAACAGTTTCCAAGTCTGTAACTTTTTGTGGGAGTAGAAAGC